GACCCAAAATTGCCTATGTTGTTGATTAAATTAGGTCCAATTACAATATAAGACATAGCGCTGGGGTTTTTGATACAATATGGTTTGACGATCTACTCCATCAGCTAAAATCTTAAAATTTCCAGTGTATCTAATTAAACTCGTAGAATTATTCCCATCTTTCATAGTTGTGGTAAATGATACATTTTATACCTGCTGGTGTTCCCCAGGAAAGCGCTTTATCTCCGGAGTTTTTTCTAAATTATGTAAACGATGTCCAAAGTTAAATACTGGACTGGGCATATTTGCCAATGATACAGCTTTAATCGCTAGCTCAAAAAGAATAGCCAGTTAACCTGCGAATTAATCACCATCTTAAATGATTGTTAATCAATTTTAACCAGAAAAAGACAACTGGATGCCTAGTTGCAATTGGAATGAATGGAGAAGTAATTGAAGCAGGTGAAACTATTAAATATCTGGGTGTAGATCTTGTCAGAAAACTCACTTTCCGAGAACATTTGCTCCAGCTGAGGAAAAAACCTGCCTATGCTAGGCACTTTATTTACGTATATATAAATATTCATTCACCATTAAGCCAGAAATTAAAATTGGAGCTTTACAAATCATACGGTCGTAATATATTGTCGTCTATGGAGCTTTGTAGCAGAAAATCTGTACAGATCTATTTCTGTTTATGAAACAGCATGACTATAATGCTAAATAAGAGAGCTTTCCAGATTAGTAACAGAAACTTGTGCAAAACGAATTTCAAAAACTACTAAGATTTTCCATCCTTGGCATATTATTAAGTAACTCCGTGTAAAAATTTCATCAAAATTCGTGCGGTACTTCTCAAGTTATAGGCGGTTGTAGGATTTGCTGACAGACAGACCGATGAAGACATAGATGTCAATGTCAATTTCTAAGTTTTTCGCGATTACGCGGTTCCTCCTAGTCAGTTTTAACATCGGTCAACACACAACAAAAAAAAAAAAAAGGAAAAAAGTACATAAATAACAAGAATGCAATGATGTAAATAAGATAGAAAAAAGTATTTTGAAACATATATTACTCATATTGTGTAAAGTTAGTCAAATAGAGGCTTCAAAATTATATAGCTGGGACTAGGTGCATTTGCAAGAATTTGATTTTACTTATTCGTGTACTAAGAGTGGCAATAAAACATGAACATAATTTGCATCGTGGACATTCGTTTTCTTAGCGTGGTAGTCTTGATTTAGATTTGTTTGGTGTTTTGTTTCACTTCAAGTATAATACTGTGAATAGTTATTGGGTTACTTGTCATACAATCTTCAATACTGCTGGACGTGCAGAGTAAACTTGTTTGTTATCCAGCAAACTCTATTACTGTGTGGTCCGGTATCTTCTTCTCCTCCTGAATATAAGAAATGTGACTGTCTTTCAAGTCTGTTAGCGTCACATCTGAATCACAAGGCGGAGAGATGTACTCTCACTAATTGAAAGTCGAGGAGGGATATAGGCATAGTTTTACCCGCTATCTGGTTGGCAATTTTGTAGTTAACCGTAGTGGCAAGTACCGTCAGCTTCAAGCCGGCAACAGCGTCGCCACCCTACGCCCCACTGAACCTACGTCCGTCAAACGATACTGACGTTTTATTTTGCACAGCTGTTATCCATAGTATTGGCTAGTTACTTTATTAGTGGCGCCACCTACACGACCCGTGGTTAGAATCGCGAGGCACAAGGCTAGTCATTGAACTTGTACGAATAAGTCCCCTATGTCTTTTCTTGATGTTTCTCCACCTGTTCATACATCCAGGCACCTTAGCGAATTCTCCTCTCCTTATGGCACATGTAGCTTCCAACAGCACGTACTGGGTTTCCCATTCAGATTTGTTACCTTAAACACAAATTATGTATTCCAAAGGAAAGCTGCTTCCGAGCACATGCTGCAAATAATGGTAAAACTTGAATGCCGCTCGACGCCAGACGCGCGCACTAGTCGCGTTAGCGTCGTTTCGGAACAGGAAAATTAGTAGGAGAGAGTTGTACTTCCGGTAGTGAAATATTGTTATTGCCGCTGTTGCCGAGAAGATTTAGATTTAAATTTCACTCCCCGAAGTTGAGGTATGTTCGTCTTGAACTAGTTGCTTGCGAATTTTTTATAAATGCTTGTCAGACGCTCGGCAGCCACAAAAGTACCTAGCTTACATTTTTTTTGTATACCAAAGCAGCCGCGAAGGTAGAAACCTAAATACGAGGGTACGGTTGCTACCATAAGGAGGTTAAAACACTTTGTTGATCCAGTTTTTTAACGGCCTAATAGTTGAATTGTGAAGACCATCCTCACTCAGATTGTTCTCCAGATCGCCGACGGCGCGTCGGTGCGAAAAAGTCTCGAAACGGCAGCAACCCAAACATGTGAGCAGTACTCGAGTCTGGGCCCTGTTCAGAGTAAGGTGGAAAAAAGTACGCCATAATCAAATATCTTATCTTGTTCCCAACAGCTGCCGCGATTGAGGAGATGTGTTCGTGCCAGAGATTACGTCCTTGATGATCTGGACTCCGGCCAGCCAAAACGAATGGCTCCTCAGTAGAACTTGGCCCTCTATCTGAACAGGTGGAGCGTTAGGACGCTTCATGTTAGTCAAGGTACAGTACTGTGTTTTTGAAGCACTGTACGATTGTTGCGTCCCCAGGCTGTGATAATCTCTAGATCTCTTGTCGGAGAAAAAGTGCTGCTTGTGTTGTACTCACCGGCAGAGATCGAATTGCTTATCTAATTTCGTGCATGTAGGGTCATCAGCAAAGCTGCGAATCCGATTCATCGTGCACCTAACGCCACTGAAATTGACATACTTAAAAGTATTTTGCGATCTGTACTGTGGGAAGTACAGGAATGATCTGCTAAGCTCCACAGGCGTCCCTTGCATATGCTCCTCAGGAGCTACTCAGGACCACAGTCACACCAAACTATTGAAGATACTGACACGTTGCAGTGAAATTTCGTTCACATTAACCGTAGAAAGCAAGCATTTCCAGAGTAGATTTATATTTCTTATCTATAGGTACACAATCTACCGTATTCCCTGAATATGTCATAACGGCTTTGGCCACGCCAAAATTTTTGTCGTACAAAGTGACATACGCTTGTGTTTTACATAACTTATCCAGGTTTATTTGTAAATATTTTTTCCTCGTATGCTTTTTTCATTGTTATTTTGTACAAATCATACATGGAGAAGTGCTTTGGGTGAACATCTTGTATCGTCAGGCACAGTGTTTTACAGGTTAGTGTTTTCTAAAGACAAGCAGGTGTATGACCGAACTACGGCTTTTTTAATTGCTGAATAACTATTGATGTGTACAGATTGTGAGACTTAAGTCAGTCCTGTGTGGACGAACCAAATCAGTCATCCTTAGCTCTGCCCTATGACGCTATTTTGTATAACCAATCGAGGTTATAATAGTGTATCACTGGATAGTAACCAAGCTGCTTTAGTCCGTCCAATCAAAGACCGTCAACAAATGACTGCTATTTCTTGCTTGCTGGCAACTCATCAGCATAGCCTTGGCTAGATCTATAGAATTATTGCCAGAATAGAAAGTAGACCTCATCTGCTTTTTCGTCAAAATCGCCAGCCTCTAGCGGGCTATCAAATGCGAACTGATATCTTTACAGTTCCAACCTACAGTGGTCGATTCGATTCAATGTCTTATTTCGCTTGCTTTCTAGATTCTACCCAGATGATATTTACATTCCCTGACTCTCATGTTCTTTGGCTAACATTCGCAATGATGGTGGCAAATAGAAACCGTCTATCGGTGGTCAGATGCATTTTATTACTTCACCTCTATGATAACGGGAAAAACTTTGTTTTTGTCAGCAAATAGTCATCCAAGCCCGGTTGATAGACTACAGAGGAGCTCTTGATTCTTAGTTTCTGCTGGTTGCTGTGATTTTATCCTTCTACTGTGAGCGGCCCTTCGCCAGGAAATATGATCCACTTAAGGCAAGTGTTAAACGACAAACGAGGTACTGTCTTGGATTGTACGCTTGATTATGAGACGAAGTAGCCCGTACCGGTACAGGTTAAGCATGCTGCTTTCATCCGTCCAACCACAGACGCCAACTATGGACAGCTGTTCCATGCATCTTTAACAATTCGTCAGCATGGTCTACGCTTAGTCTCTGGTAATCAACGAACGGTGTGTCGGTGAGCTGGAAAAAAGAGTACTAGTAGCGACTTCCTTTCTGACGAAATACCTGGAGATTAAAACTACTTGGGGACGTAACAATCTTGTACGGTTTAATGCTTCCAAAACACAGTGTTGTACTGACGAACAAAAAGCATCGTAGCGTTTATCCGGTTCCGATGGATGGCCGGGTTCTGCCAAAAAGTCGTTCATTTCGGCTGGTCGGAGTATAGAATACCGAGGACTTGTTCTGGCACGAACACATCTTTTCAATAGCGTCAGCTGCTGGCAAAGAGCCAGGCTATTTGCTTAGAGCTAAATAGCACTTTCCTTCACATGACATCGCCACTCTATACAAGGTCCCGATAAGACCTAGAATCGAGTACTAATCTCATGTTTGGGATGCTGCCGCCCAGATCTATGCTCAATGCTGGACGCACTCTGTAATTGTTGATGAAAATCTCCATGTTAAAACTTATACGTACTCCCAGGAATTGTCACTCAACATAGGTAATATTAAAACTCGATTCTTATTATCTAATATACACCTCTTAAATGATGTTCTGAATGGTATTGCTCAGAATGTAGATTCTTCGAGGGAATATTCAGGTAAAGACCAGTTCATAGCCACTATCAACCATGCTTACAAAATTTTAAATTACACAGAATTGTTCACCGATGAAGAGACCCACACTGTCATTTAGTTTATTTGTGAGCAAACTAAAGCTTGTTATTAGTCAGGAGAATAGACACAATTACTCGTCAGAAACAATAGTGTTTTGCTCTATGTTGTATACAATCAGTCCAATTCATATAGTTTTATTAGGAGCCATGGAGCACTTATTTTACCAGACCAAAATATATATAGATGGCGTACTGTTAGCATCAGGTCGTGTCGGCATTTGCTGGTAACATTTTTGCAAAATTCACACAGTTTTAAATTTTTTTAATTTGTCTGTGTTGTAAAGTAAATAGAGTAGTGTCTCCTGCTTAGGGTGGTTTAAGAGCCGATCCAGGATTGTGATTCGTTCTGTGTTAATTGATAATTTTCTTCGTCTAACCTCTATACAATCGCCATTTGTAATGGGTTTGTCAACGACAGACATACGAGAAATAAAATCAACTATTTAACGAGAAATTTGTGCAAGAAATTATTGAAAAAGTCACATCTGCTGTAGAGAGGAAGTTTGAAGAGAAACTCAACTCTCAAAATCAACAAATTAAGACCCTCACTAATAATACATGGGAGCTGCGTAAGGAAAACGATAGCCTACGCAAAAGTATGGAGTCTCGGGAGCAGGCAGTGCGCAGCATGAATATACGTATTCAAAGAATGGATGTCCAAAAAGACGAAAACATTCGGTCACGAGTTATTCGCCTATTTACGAACACATTAAAGATAAACGTCCAAAATTCTGGTATAAAAAAGTGTCACCGAGTACCGTACAAGAATCCCGGAAATAAGCCACCTGCAGTGCTAGTGAGGTTTACATCGGATTCGGTGCGTTTATCAGTACTGAAAAATAAAAAGAATTTAAAAAAACTCTGGTATACCTATAAAAGAGGATTTAACAAAAACGCGTTTATTATTACTTAATAGTGCTATAAGTGCCTTTTCGTACAAGAATGCGTGGGCATTAAATGGTAACATTTACGTAAAACATAACAATGACGTTCATTATGTATCACAGGAGGCGGACATTGAAAAAGTATTTAGCAGGCAATGAACCATAAACTGTAAGTGCTCTTTATATAATTTCTAGAATGGTTTTTAGGGTTTTTGTTTTGTAACTATTCAACACATATAGGTGTATTCTGTTATCTTGCTTAAGAAGAATATTTTTTTCCTCTGCTCTTTTTGCTTTGCAATACATATTAATTTGTAAATACCGAATGATACTGTTGTATTTTTGTGTTAAAGTATTTAAAAACTACACAACTCGGCAATAGACACATCTGTATACTGTATACGTGGTCTATGCCTTATATTTGTGGCATCTGTATTTAAACTTCAATTGGAATATATATATATATATATATATATTTGTTTATTTTTTTCCAATACTTCTTTATACTGTTGTTCATTTTTTAAATACTGGTTACTATGATTATATTAAAAAACAATGCTTTTAAAACTGGTCACTTGAATGTACGATCTCTGTTCACTAATTTTAATGAACCCAAATAATCATTGAGGAGAAAGATTTTGATATTTTAATGTTAACTGAGACTTGGTTATAAACTGTTGACGATTCTAATATATTTAAAATTCCTAATTATCAATTTATTAGAAAGGACCGACTGGGTAGGGGTGGTGGAGTAGCGGCCTACGTAAAGAGAGAATTTGCGGTACAAAAGTTAAACTTGGATTTCGAAACTAATGTACAACTTGAGTACTTTATATTTAAACTAAAAATTAATTACAAAAAATACGGTTTTTGTGTTTTTTATAGACCACCACAGCTTAATTTTAATGTTATAATTCCTGATTTTGATACCATACTTTCCTGTCTGTACCCTTTAGTTGATGAAATTATTTGTTTGGGAGATTTTAATTGCAACTTATTTAACCTTCGAAATCCACTAGTACCCCTATTTGAAAATTATAATCTTACGCAGATCATTAGTGAACCTACACGCATTTCTGGAACGGTATGTACTCTGCTTGATGCGATATTTGTCACTAACTTGTCGATAGTAGCTAGGTCTGGGGTTTTATCTGCGGATAATATTTCAGATCATAAATTGATTTACTGCGATCCTAATATTTCAAAGGAAAGTAAATCACCTAAAATAATAAAACATCGTTCTTTTAAAAATTTTATTACCTAAATAATTTTCAAGCAGATATGCAAAGTTTGCCGTGGAATAATATATTATATGAGAATAATATTGATAATAAAATAATTTTAAATAATCTAATTTTTACATTGTTTCGTAAGCATGCATCAATAAAAGAATCACTAATAACAAAACCAAAAGCGCCTTGGTTAACTAACAATATTAAAGTATTTATGAAACAAAGAGATGCAGCACTGCAAAAATTTAAAAGATCAAAGCTTCAATCAGACTGGGTAGATTATAAACATTTAAGAAATTTTACTTTATCGTTTATAAGAAAAGAGAAGAAGGAATACATAGAATCTTTTGAAAGTAACTCCAAAAAACTGTGGTCAGTTTTAAAAAGTTTTAATATCTGTTCTACAAAAAATAATGAAATTCTCCAGATTCTATCAGAACCTGATGATATTAATAGCTTTTTGCTGCTTTTCTACAAAATAAATCTAACTGTTCGGAAAAAATGAAATTTTATAAATCAATGCCTTTAAAAATAACTCAACCTTTAACTTTAAATTAGCAGAAATAACAAATATAAACAAAATTTTAAACAACATGAAAAGTAATGCCGGGATAGATGATATTTCGCCCTAAATGTTAAAATATTGTAGTCCGTACATAGATAAGCATATAACACATATTATAAACTGTTCCATTGAAACAAGCTACTTTCCTGACAAGTGGAAAATCTCCATAGGAAAACGATTACCAAAAATAACTAATCCATCAATCTTTAACGAACTTCGTGTGATAAATATACTTCCTGCTTTGTCAAAGATATTTGAAGGAGTGCTGTACGAACAAATTTATGACTTTTGTATGAGTAACAATATTATTCTTGGTACTCAGTGCGGTTTTCGTAAAAATTTTGGTACATCAGTGGCTCTAACAAACGTACTCGATGACATATTAAGAGCAAATGATAAAAAGATGAGTTCATTTTTGGTACTTCTAGACTTTTCAAAAGCTTTTGATACCATTAATCATGAATTGTTGGTAGCTAAACTTCAGAACTATGGCTTTAATAAGGAAGCATATTTGCTCTTAAAATATTATTTGACAGGAAGGTATCAATCGATTCTATCAAATGACACATTCTCAGACAAAGCGGAGATCCTATCGGGAGTTCCTCAGCGATCAATATTGGGCCCCGTTATTTTTTAATTTATACATCTGATATCCTTGCGTCTTTAAAATATTACGAAAATTGTATAAATGAGGACATTAACACCTTGAACAATCTCCCATTAGGTCACAACTTGAAACTTCATACGGAAAAATCGCTTGTAATGATTTTTGGTAACAAATCTGAGACTGAGTTTTTGAAAGCTAATCTCAATATAATGGCTAATAATTCAAAATTGAATTTTGTTGGAAGTACAAAAAATCTCGGTATAGTTTTAGATTCTCAGCTTAGATTTAAAGATCACCTGTAAAATCTTATGCAAAAATCATTTTGTTCTCTAAAAGTTTATAACAGACACATACTAAACAGATCACTAAAAAAAAATGTGTGAATCTCTAATTCTTTCCAATTTCAATTCTTGCGATTTTTCTATGGGTTTTGCTTAGATCAGGCAAGTAGGGGTCGGATTCAGAAGGTGCAAAATGCGTGCCTCAGGTTTATCTATGGTCTGCGTAGGTTTGATCATACATCTCATTTGTATAAAGAAATTAAATGGCTTAAAATGAATGAACGTCGCACTGTCCATTTTTCTAGTTTTTTATTAAAAATTATAAACACTCGAGGTTCACCTGATTCTATAAGAGAACGCTTAATTTTCCGACATTCTGTTCATGATACAAATGTAAGATATTCAAAAAAATTAACTATGCCGCTTCATAGTAGTGCATTGTTTCGACGATCAGTCTCATACAATGCTGTTAAGCAATTTAATTCAATTCCCAACCAGTTCCTTAATCTTTCTCTTTCAAGTTTCAAAATACAATATAAGAAATATTTGCTAAATAGAAACCTGAACAAACTTTTTTAGAATAGAGATTGAAGTTTATAATACAGGTATATAAGTAGAAAAAATTTGTCAAGCAAATTTTATAGTAACCAGTAACCAAATTTTATAGTGACCAGTATTAATTAATATCTTTTTGAAATTTTAATATACTTTCAGTCCATTTAGTGTTAATACGTGATTATTATTATGAGTATTCTGTATTGTTGTTTAAGACTTATTACTATTATTATTTTTTTGTTGTCTTATTTTGGTTCAGTAGAGTAGCTTTAAGCTAGAATTGCGCCAATAATAGGCAATGTATTCTGTATTTTTTTTTCAAATTACCTTTGTAAAAAGATTATTTGTTTTATTCAATAAAGTCATTTATTATTATTATTATTATTAAAATACTCAAAGTAAATTTGTAATACACTGATGGTCGCTCAGATGAGAGACATAACTTTTTAGGCTATGCAGAGAACCTTTTCAGACGTATAAAACCTGCTGAGGAGAACACGATTTTATTGATGGATGAAATACACATTGAGCCATATTTAGATTTCAAAGGGGGTAATATCGTTGGAACGTCAATTAATAATTCTTCATTAACTACAACAGCATACAATATTACAAAAAAACTTATTACTGGATTAGAGAGAGGTTATAAAATTTGTTGTGTTGTAAGTGATAATAATGCACTGAATAGTAAAGCGATGGTACATTCTTCTCCAGAGAGTAAGGCAGGCATTGTTTATCCGCATCCGTTGGATAAAAAACATCCCCTTTTGTTGCTTTTTATATAGTGTACCTTATAAAATGTATCCGCAATAATTGGGTAAATCCAAAACCAGAACAAATTTTTAACATACCCAGATCTTGAAATACTTGAGGTAAGTGTTGCTTCATCTAAATCTATTAAAACATTGTACCAAATCGAAAGTCATAAAATATTGGAACAGGGTTATTGTTTGACCCTAAAGGCTTTATATCCTACCAACCAAAAGACAAAAATGTTCAATTAGCTCTGATAGCTAACATCAACTTATTACTCAAATGATCACGTAATGTTGTATGAAATATCAATGAAAAGCAGGGTGAAAATAGTTAATAACTTATTTAATATTTTCCACCAGGTTGCCTTCAAATACCAAAAATACTTTTCTGAATTATCCGTCATTTACATCAGGTAGAGTATGTTAAATATGCTGCAATAATAATATATTATGTTCCGTCCTCGTCGAAGTAAATATTTAGAATACATATCGTAGTAACCTCGTAGTAGCACTCAACTGCCACGTTACATTTTGCTTGTGATGGCAAAATCCATCTGGTTTGTGATAACTCTGGAACAATATTGTAAGGATGCACATGGGAAGTTAGGAAGAAGTCGAAGTACCATTTTTCATTGATGAACGACATAGATTAGTTACATCTATGCGAGACTAGCGTTACATTTTTCTTGTGAAAGCAAATTTCACGTGGTTGGTGATAACCGTGGAACAGGTGTGTAAGTATGAACATGTCAGGTTAGAAAACCGCCAAAGTATATCTTTTTATTATCACCAAATAAAGATTAGGCACATGACAGGTTACGAAACAGATGAAGTACTATTTTTCATTAACAACATATATGAATTAGGTACATCTATGGTAGACTAGCGTTACATTTTCCTTATGATAGCAAATTCCACATGGCTGGTGATAACTATGGAACAGGACTGTACGTATGAACATCTCCGGTTAGGAAACCACCAAAGTTCTAATGTTCAGTAATAACGGAAGTTAAATCCCCTTATGCCCGATTAACGTTACATTTTGCATAGGTGGCACTCGAACAGCAGGGCGCTTTGAATTGTGTTGTCTTAAAGGCCATCTGGTCTGTTTCAATAGATGACGCATCACCACGATGATGCGGCGACCTTAGTATAATTAATGTTCGCGCGTTGTTCCAAGACTGAGATTTCGAGGGCAGATCTTGTTGATGGCGATAGATGAATGAATTCTGTTCTATTCTAGCCACCTAAGATGAACCCTAAGGTAACGGAAGCCATAATAGTAATTGTCGCACGCAGGGATGCGTGCTTAGACTTTGTACAGCAACATGTGAGCTGTTCATTAACTACAAGTTTCAATACTCTATTTTCAATGAAGGGAGAGGAGCGCATGCTGGCAGGTATTCACATTGAAGCAAAGAACTCAGGAGTACTTTGACAGAGGCTTCCAGTGATATCTTTCTCTTCGGTGTAGGTCTGACCAAGTAAGTCAATCCTAAATAGAAATCAAATAAACAGACCAGCAACTGAAGGCCAAAATGCCAGACAACGTACTGACAACATCAACCCACTATTGCAGATGACGTGTATAGATCAGCAAGAACAATAACGCGTATCCATCATCAATGGCAGAGCTTTAGGAGTGACGCTAAAGTTCTGAGTTGGACTCAAATGGTCACTTGCCATTCAGATGGAATCTGGTTTAGCACTTTGCCATAGCTGAATCTCATTAGTCCATCTATAACTTGCTTAGCTGCGGTGCTATCAGTGAAAAAGTTGAGCTAACTAAAAATCAGCACCTATCCAATTGTTTCTTGCCCCCAAGTCTAATGAGTCCACACGTGTGATTCCTTACGTCAAGACTTTGTTTATAGGGCTATAGCACTTAAGTCTAGGCTATTGAACTAAGATCAGCCTCCTCCGTAGAGATACTGTCTTAACAAATCTGGATTTGGAATATGCAGGGATTTTCGCACCCGGGAGAGTGATAGAATATATTTCAAATTCACATTCAAGGGACAGTACTTCCAATACAATGCTGTACCATTTAGGGTAAATTATACCCCTTATGTGTTCACAAAGTTAATAAAACCACTTCTGGAATACCTTAAGAAAAAATTGAGCACTTTCAGGCTCAGTATTAAATTGTGACAGAAAGAAAGCAACTTTACCGGAGCGGACGATGCAGACATTACTAAACGTAGTAAGGGAAATAATGGACAGCAAACTGGACAGAGTCCAAAACTTTGCGGTGAACATCGGGATCTTGGTGTCAGCTTGTCTTTCATTTCACTACAGCCGACTATACACTAGCGAGTGAAATTTCTTGCCTTGTAAAATTTTCAAGGGAACTTTCACGCTACTATGCCACTAATATAATATAACTTAAGGTCTACCTCGGCTGGGGCTCAAAGAAACTGGCAGATGCGGTTAGAGGTATTGAGTTATCCAATTTTTTTGTTGTATAATTTCTCGGACTGGGACATTCGCTGGCCAGGGAGGAGTCTCTAGTCCATCATTTATTGTGAGCTTAGATTACGGTAGGGCCTTTGTCGGGAAGAACTATATGTCTGGTTTCCTACCTTGAAATTTCTTACCTTAGAGGTGATAAGAGATCAAGGTATAATTGTTTGAGCTATCAGTCTTTTACCCAAGATGTTACTAACGATGCAGACATAAGATATTTTCTGAAGGGCATTTACAGGCTGAGGCCATCTCAACTGAAATATAGATACTGTGGTTGTTCTCAATCAGCCAAAGGGGTTGCTGATAAGCTCTGTAGATATTTGGATGAGGAAATTAGCAACACTGCTAGCTCTAACCTCAGGTCAGAGTGTGCAAACTAATTGAAACAGACAACATCCGGATTGAGTTGAATAATACTGTAATTGGGATTTCTGAGTTTTTAAAAGTCTCGGGGCAACCACATAAATTTTACCGTATTTTTCGCCCAAATATCGGTGTAAAGCATTTATTTGTCACTGTGCAGTAACTTTATCATGGTGCCTCGGCTCCCAGATGGATGAATGTGGTTTTAGCAGAGAGTGTCACAATTGACAACCCACAGTACCTGAAATGCGTCTACCTCTGCGCCGGCTAAATTATAGTAGTCGCAGGCTCGCGGCTTGTTGTAGTGCGTTTTCTGAGATACGTCACAAATCTCTTATGCCAAACAATAGCTTTGCTCAAGCGGCATTTGAGGTGAACCAAGTCTCCACACCTTAAACATAACTATGTTATTACGTTATTTGCTCATTACCATGAAATGGATGGTAATTTTTGGACCAAGTAACTTAACGAAAATTGTTACAATGGAAATGTACATTTAGTTGTCACATACATTGCGTACAATTTGTTTAGTTGTGTACAACCTATGGTTTACTATTGCAGAGCATTAGTAGTATGTTGTTGCAGCTAGCTTTGAACATCTATGATATGTATTCTAAATATTTACTTCGACGAGGACGGAACATAATTACACGATCAAACGAACTTACCTGTAAGTGATGTTCGATCTTAATTATGTGAAGTCCTCGTCGAAGTGAATAGCTACCTTGCTCCCTATGTATCACCCAATTGTTGCAACAACTTGGCTTTGAAGTAAATGAAGGTTTATAGGCGGCCAGAGGGGAGAAAGGTTGAGGAAAGGGCGCGGTGCCGGTTTCCTTCTCTGCGTGCGCGCTTTGAAGTCGTGGCGGTTGGGTACTACTACGAGGTTACTACAATATGTATTCTAAATATTTACTTCGACTAGGACTTCACATAATTAAGATCGAACATCTCTTACAGATACGTTCGTTTGATCATCTAATTATTCACTAGTGCTGATGTACGGCACGCCGTGCTACTCGTGGTGACTTTACGCGTCTGTTTTCAGGCCTTGTTCTCTCGATGGTAACGGCTTTGCTCGTCCTCTCGTTCCTCCATGATGCCGCTGCGCGATGTGCCTGCTCGACAGACCCACCTGACTGCCGCCTCCCATTCTAGTGGTGTAGAACTTAGTACATCCAGAACTGGCCGATACGAAAGCTCCTTCGTCTCTAGGATGTGGAGAGTGTGGGGAAATCTACAAGAAGAGGCTTTTCCCAGTTCTACTAAGCTTAGGAAGTTCAAAAATCGGATTAACAAAGTTTCTTTGGAATCCTCATAGCAGCTGTGGTGCCCTGGCTGTTTGGCTTCTGCCTGCGCGGTGCACTGGCACTTCGGCTTCTGCCTGCGCGGCTTCTTTGGTGTGAAAAAACTATCCTCTGTCCGTCATATGAGATCTATCAAAATAAGACACAACAGAGCGCCATATTTTGCCAGAACCGACCACTGCGAGGGTGAATAAGCACCTTTAGTGGGGTTTCTCACCAAAGCCGAGCCGAGCCGAGCCGAGCCGGACGGAAATCGCTTAAACGCTAAATGATTTGAATGGGAGCTTCCAAACAGAACGCCGGGCCGCGCCGAGCGAGACCGGGCGAGGTCGAGCCGATTTGAGCACTGCTAGCTATATACCGCCAATTCGAGCGTTTTCGGCGTCCTTCCAGTCTAGTTCGGAGTTTCAATAAGTTAAAACACGTCAAGTGGTTTTTGTTCTACATATTGTCACCTCAAAAAATAAACAAAAATGAGTGTTGATGTTGAACTACTAATTAGTTCTAATCAGAAAAGACCTCCGTTGTGGGATCAGTCTTGTAGATCGTGTGTTTGCAGTTGAAGACAGTTGTTCAGTTTCACCGAAATTGGACGATTGTTGGTCTATCTCGTGGAGCATCAATTCGTCCATTCCGTCCTTGTCGATAACAATGTTATGCATTACGCACATACACTTTACAATTTTGTCAGCTAAATCAGGGGTTGTTTCAATTGGTTTTTGGAGTAACCTCCATTTAGACGCCAAAATTCCAAACGAACTTTCCACAACTCTTCTAGCTCTTGACAAGCGTTCATTGAATGTTCGTTTCAAGTCATCCAATTCCCTCCTCGGAAAAGGTCTCATAAGCCAAGGAGTCAAAGGCTAAGCTTCATCTCCGATAACCACAAAGGGACAATTTATGTTTGTTTGTGGCAATCCTGTGTTTGCTGGCATATTAAAAGCACCATTTTTTAAGCGGCGATAAAGCGTACTTTCTGAAAATATTCCACCGTCAGATTGTGTTCCATATGCACCAACTTCTATCGTAATACATTTGTATTGTGCATCAGTAAGTGCTTGCAGAACGATTGAATAGTACCCTTTATAATTATAGTACATACTTCCTGAATTAGCAGGGCATTTCACACGAATATGCTTCCCGTCTATAGCCCCCTCGCAGTTGGGGAAATTCCACTTTTGCATGTAAAGAGTAGATGATCGCAGAAGCAAATTAGTTGTAGGTTCCGGCAGATGTATCGATGCTAACTTATCCCAAATCGCTGTGCAAGCTTCTGCAATAATGTAGTGAACCGTTGAGGTTCCAATTCTGAATGATTCACTGATGGCTTCATAGGATAATCATGTCGATAGATACCTGAAAACAATTTCTATATTAGAACAAATGTGCTACTCAACAACTCTAATATAATTTTTAATGTCTATTGTGAACAATAATACAATTTTCAACAATATTATTTTTCGTTTGTTGCAGATATTATAGCAAAGAAAAAATGGAAACGTTTGAACGACAGTTTTCGGAATGAATTAAAGAAAGAATGCAAACCAAAACCTGGGGACGCCCAAGGCTCACCATGTAAGCCCCAATGGAAATGGTTCAAAAACATGGAATTTTTACAAGTATGGAAGAAAACTTGAAAAGTGACTCCTCGTATTTCACACAGGAAGAGTCTCAGCGTGAAACCGAGTCTATTGATGGTGGGGTGATGAGATCCGAATTGTATTGAATTCTTATCAATACAATTTTTTAAAACGTATTACTATGTGTGTTTTTACACCCTTTTACACTTGTGAATAAATAAAAAATGAAGGTAAAAGTTATTAACAATATATTTAGAATCTTGGTCACTTACCAAATAGTCACCATCAGCCTTTCTTCACATGGAATAGCTCTTCTGTAGTTTGTGGACAAATGGATTCCAGTATATAATCAAATGTATCGGTACTCATTCTAAAATCTCTCCAAAACCTTTCTTCATCTTCTCGAAGTTTCTGGTATAGAGTTACGAACTGTCCGCTAGTCTTGTGATCTTTATTGATATTGTGAGTCCAGTATCGCCTTCTTTCTCCCACACGTTCATCATCAAGTGCGGAACTATCTAGTAACATCATCATCAAAGTGGCTGACATTATTGCTCTGAATAATTTTAACTGACAATGAGACTGGTCCAGCTTGAACTGAGTGGAAGCACATCTCACTACAAGGCTAGAAAACCTACTGAGAGCGAATCGGCTTCAGTGCGAACGCAGGCAGATTTCGCTCGACTCGGCATCGCATCGCTTTGCCCTGCCTGGCTCGGCTCGGCTTTGGTGTGCCAGGCGCCTTAGGTTGGGATATAGTTATATATAGTTATATATAGTTCGCGTTTGATAGCCAAGTCATCATGTTATGATTTTGTTTGTCATCCACCTGAGACCAAGCTTACAGCGTTCTGAGGAATTGCCAAAAAGGCACGAAACAGTTGTACATGGTCGGCGAAAAACAGCTTATTTCGATACATCGCCCATGTATAATATCTTTCTCACTTTAACGGTGTTCAGTTGCTCTTTGTGTTCACCTGTTCGCTGGGTATTGCGTTATTGGGGACTCTTTGTACCTAGGAGACTCGTAATAACCGCCGGTATATATACAGTTCTAAAGTCTTTAACATCTTTTCTGTTTGTAGATCCCTTGAAAATTGCCTTTTCTAGTTTACTATGTCCTTATGCTACACAACAGATATTAGCATATGTATAAGACTGCTTGCGGTACCCATTCCCTGATAGAGTTGTCAGGGTACCGACCGTGAAGAGGACAATTGGACGTACCGTTGACTTTTCACGTCGGTTCAAGCAACATCGGTATGCAAAATAGGGTACAGACTGCGCGGTCAGAACGCAGAATGCCTCCATTTACGTGCCAATCTTCCCGCTTTTATGGAGAAATAATGAGAGAAGGTATGGCTAGGTTGTAGCGGCATGTTGCTCAAAGCAAGCAACACGCTCGGTGATATTGTACAAGGTGTGTAACTGGGTAGTATCAAAGACTCGTAAGAAGGCATCAATAGAAAAATGTGTTTAAGATCGCGTGTCCCGTGTCCTTAACGACCTGTTTGGAGCAGTATTAGAAGTCCTTTTGATCTTATTTATTTCATGGTGTATTTAGATGTGACTAAAAAACAATGTTATGATTTTTCCTTCTCATGGATTTTTAGTGTATTTACCTGCGGATTTTTTTTTTCCATCGCAACTTTGTGAACAAATATTAGTACGCTCTGAAAATGTGTGTCAAAACTCCACTTTTATACTAAAATTAAGCGAGTGATTACCATTATTCGTATCACTTCTTCTCTTCAAGAGAACTTTCCTGAAACCTCAGCTTGCACTAAATTGGGTTTTCAAGAAAAGATTATTTTAAGGGAGAAAATTGTAAGAAAATCACCCGCACAATTACTCTATAGTAGATTTAATTGTTTTTTAGTCACATGTATATACACCATGAAACAATCATACAAAAATTTTCAAAAATGTTGAAAAAGGGATATTAATTTCGGAGTGAGAAGTTCATACCATGAAACTTATTAAGCTTTGAAAATGATCGTGGCCGTTAACAGGATCACACTGTGGGAAACTGCCTCTGAAGCTCTGAACAGATCGTTTACACATATCGTAAGGAATGGCATTCACTTCTTCAACAATCCCCTCTCTTAGCTCTTAGCTCCCGCAAAGGGAGAATTCCTAAGCACTTTGTCCTTGGAGAAATAACTCACACACATGGGGGAAATATTTCGCAGGAAACATTCATTGAATGAAGACAGTGCGAACTGCAGTTCCATCTAGTCTCAACCCAAACTAATCTAGCTACAGCTCTAATAACCGAATATTCAATTAGTGTTTTGAAACAAATGTTTCCGGGCTCTCTCGTCTCGATGGAAAGTGATGTGAGGTGGCCTGGGCGGTTACCACCTTTGAGCATCTGTAACTTTTTCCTGTGGGGTTGCCCAAAGAAAAAAATCAGTCCGTAAAGGAAAGTTATACATCATCGAAATGAGACATCGCCTGTGTGTACAGAGCTAGTGAGGCCAGGGCACTTATGAATACCAGCACGTCCGTCGGTGAAACCGGAGAGCAGATGCGTGGACGCGTATCGAAGCCACGTGTATCACTCTACGTTTTAAGAGCAAATGTGCGGGGAAATCAATGATATGCGAAATGGGTATAATAGGTGCATATAGCTACTGGGGTTGAAAGTGTCTTAATGTACTAGCATCAAAAAATAGCGATACACCCTTTCCCAATCTCCTACAATCCCCACTTCCAATTTATTCACCTCAAAATCGTGAGCGTCCTCTGAAACGTAAAAAAGCGGCATTTTCGTCGACGCCATCGGACGATTAGCAAAAACTACAAAGCTTTCTCGTACTTGTGTGAACATTTCATTAGAATCCGAGCGGTGCTTTCCAAGTCATAGATTGGCCAAAGATTAGCGTATATACAGACATACAGACCGACAGAAATGAGTGACATGGCTTTAGATGTCATATAACATCCATAAAACTTTATAGGTGTCTTATTTTAGAAATTTTTCGTATTTACAATACCTCCTTGCCAGTAGGCGTGGTAAGTAAAAGTACTAAGGCATTCTCCTTACACTTTGTTACAGCTACAACCTCAAGCAGCGCTGTTTGGTGCTCATTAGCAACTTATCAGTGCGGTATAGGTCTAGCCTTAGAGACTGGCGAACGGGTAGTAGACAAGTCATCTTTTGAGAAGTCAAAATATTGTTCGCAAGTAGGTGAAAATATGACAATTTCCACCTACCAAGCTGATTGATTTTCATCCTCATCTCAAGCGTTGATGACGATAGACCCTTACGTCGTATGGCTCATAACCGCTCGACGTTCTGCGCTATGCACAGAGACTATGCACCACACCACTATCACGGTCGAGTGTCAAGTAGTCGGAATACTTAGTATTCACGGTGCGTTGGCTTTCTATGCGTATACGCTGAAATGGACTTGATTGCTTTTCGTCTAAGTCCAAGCACAGAGAGCTGGATTTCGTGCTTATTAGCAACTCGTCAGTACGATATAGGTCTTGATCTAGTCTTGTAAACAGACGAACGGGAAGCAAACAGGTGGATATGGTCTTTTGAAATATGCGGCTGTTCTTGATTACAGAAACGGAAAGCAAACATGACCATATTTCAGACGCCACTGAATCGACCGCTCTTCCGCTAACACGACCTACTGCAAATGCCCGACTAATTTCGCAAAAGCGCTATCTGGATCTAACCGGGCTATATTCGATGAATATCGGCATGCGTGTTGTTGCATTTTGAACATATTCGGAAGCTCAAAATAATTAAACGGCTTTGGCTTTCTATATGGACGCTGCACCCACCAGCTCGGCTTAAACAGAGCTATTTGTAAAAGGACAGAGGCCATACTGGGTGACAACAGTTCGCTGTTTGTTTGCGTTGCACAAAAACGGCGTTTGAAACACCAGGAAGTACTTAGGTCTGTAAATGACTATAGAAAAGAACCATGCTTGTAGGATGCTAAGATATTGACACAGCTTACATGGAAATAAGCACATTAAAGGAAATAGCTTAAGAGCTGTTTTTTATAACGAAACAGCTGCGAAGGCAGAAGCCTAAGTCCCGGGGCACCGCGGCTGATATGAGCAGCATGAAGATAACAGTTAACCGATTTCTGCACTGCCTACGATTAGTAAAATTGGGAAAAGCCTTCTCAGGCAGGTTGTTCCACAATCAAGGCACCCTAGGGACAAAGGACCGGCCGTCCCAAATAGATCTGGATATACGAAGTTGGACCTAGTTAGGATGGCAGGCCGAAGACAGCCGGGTCTGTCTGGCAGGCGCATCACGCAGAGGCAACATGGAGGAGAGCTCCCGCTTGGGTAATGGGAGAAGAGAGCTAGATCGCCGGTGCGAAAGGGTCCAGAGATTGTTCATCAGAGACGAGTCGTCGGTCAGATGGACAGCTCTCCTTTGAACACCATCGAGCATGGATAATGTAGTCGGGGCGGCATCATCCCAAACCTGTGAGCAGTACTCGAGCTTAGGTCTTATCAGGACCTTTTTGAGAGTGAGGAGGTTATGTGGAGAAAAGTACTTCTTAGCCCTAATCAGATAGCACAACTTTTTCCCAGCAACTGCCGCGGCTGGTCATCTGTGTTCGTGCCACATCAAGACGACGGTGATTTGAGCCCCCTTGCAGAACTTGGCCATTCATTGAAACCGAATGAGTGCTAGGCCGCTTCTTATTAGTCAAGGCACAGTATCATGTTTTAGAAGCATGACACTTTAGCAGATTGTTGCGTCCCAAGGCAGTGATAACCTCCAGATCTCTCGTCAGAGACGAAGTTGCTACTAACCTTTGACGCCTCAATAGCTTGGAATCACTGTTCGAATTTTGATGCGTGGGACAAGCTTTAATGATTTTTGACACTATTTTGTCCCCGCTACCAGTGACCATTTGTGTTTCTTGTCTGAATGAAGTCTAGAGCTTGGAATAGTGTCACAAAATATCGTGCTAAGTACCATTTCTGAGACTTTAATACTTCCACTTATACGAAGAATTTGATCTTGCTGGGATATCACTGTTATAAGACGAGTAAAAACTTAATAAATTATAGTTTAAACAATAAAAACACGCCTTAATAGCAAATCGAACGAAAAAGTAAAAATATTTATCAAGGATAGGAGAGTTTGTGCTTCTGCAATTGAGAGTTCAACAATCAAGTATGACTAACT